AGTGTGAGCAACGGGGCCACTTCTCATGGGAGAAACAAACGAACGGGAAAGGACTGGACGTCCCGCGAAGATGTTATGGCAATGCTCAGGCTGCCCGAGCTGCTATCGGTGCTTTGCTCTTCCATAGCACTTCTCCTCGGAGCTCTTCACAGCATGCGCAAGCCTCCCGGGAGGCAGGGCAGTGCGATCCACTGATGGCGAGTCGGAGTTCCCATTGCATTACCCTAACAGCTGAGAGAGACGTTCAGGACTTCCCAAGTCCTGTGTTTAACCACAAAACCGTCCGCCCTTGCGGGGCGCTGGAAGGCAATGACTGCTTTGTGTCTCACTAGAGGCACCTTGGCCTGGTGGCCCTCAGGACTGATTGTACACGACTGGGTAACCATGGATGGTGCCGGTGTTTGTGGAAATGAAGGGGCCTCTTCGAGGAAGGTTAGCGTGGTCATTAGCACCTGCAAATTGCTCTGGTGATGCTTCCGCCATGAAATCGTTTCGTATCCCAATGTCCTAATGACAGCCCCAACCCATCTATTCTAGGTAGAGTCTGGGCATGCTGCAATTACTCGAGTACATTATTTGATTCCTTTCCTAAATGCCAGCTGAGTTTCAGGCCTGGCCAGCATGCTGAGACAGGCCTTGTAAAGCTGGCCATGACCTAGCTACGCACAGAGGCCAGCTGTCTATTCTTGTCCTTTGAGATCTTTCCGTGGACTGGATGACTAGAAAACGCCCATTGGAAACCATGGAGCTGCTCGCTTTCGACATCCTTGCTCTTGGGCTCTTTCAAGGTCTTTCTCACCCACTGGAGTTCAGATGCCAGCTGTGGCAAGAAGAGGATCCTACCTTCTGGGCCACGCAGCCAGGTTATATCCCCGTCTCCCACCGGCTGATCGTATCACCCAACAGCTCGGCATTGGTCACGTGAAGGTTGGATTACTGTAATGCAGCCCAGGGGAGCTCACTCAGCAGAGAGGTTAGTCAGACATCTGCAGCTGGCTCACAAACTCCTCTCCACTCTGTGCGCTAACATCCTCGTGCTCCGAGCGTGCCTCAGATCACATGGGATGGAGCTGGCCCTCAGCCTGCAAAATGAATGCTACAAACATCTACAATCACATAAATGTTTGCAGGGGAATTTAAAGGGCTGGGGAAAAGTGCCACGTTAGCAGCTCTGGGGACTGAGCAGGGAGAACATGGGCTGAGTCCTGACAGACCTTCCATACGCACACCGCACCAGTATGCTTCACCCGTGCGCTGGACGGACCACCACAAAGGGCAGAACAGCTCAGCCTCTGTGGCCTATTCATTGACCTTTCTGCTGACACTGCCCACAAGGGAGCTAATGGTGCTAACAGAGATGGTGGCTTCTGTGATGTGGACTCCTGCCACTGAGATCTGGATGAGACCCACCAAATTCATTCCACCCAACAGATGTCAGATGGCAGCTGCTGGACACTCTCACCTGGATGGGATTTGACCCCACAACACGGAGAAGAAATGCTCTGCACCCTATTGCTATAGGTCCATGACACAGAGCCTCTGTGACTTGTTTTTATGAGCAGTCATTCTCCAGTCCGTTGCTAATAGCTCACAGATGTACTTCAGGTTCCTGCCTGGGTTGATTTTCATGGATGCTGTTTGTAAATGGGGTAATTCAGAAGGGCATAGAATAAATCAAATCAAAACTGAACTGAAGAGTGGGGGCCGTGCTACGGGCCAGACCCAGGAGGCCCAGTTCTCATCATCGGCACTCTGGGATTTTCAGGGAACACAATTTCCTGCCTCAGATGCGCCTCTTATCAAGGCTTGAAATTTCCAAGGGAAAGTTCAGGTTGGATAGACCCTAATCTTGTTTTTTCACATCCCGGGGAACTGGAGGAAGCAGTGAGAATTGGCAAGGGCAGACTTTCAATTATTGCATTTTATTTATTTATTTGGATTTTTCCATTTGCGCCTGCCTCATGCCGTCGGTGTGTTACACGCATTGGACACACACACACTTTACCAAGATACTGAACAGAGCCATGAGATCTGAAACACAGGCCTCCTGGACAGTGTCCCCTCCCCGCCCCCCATCGGCCTGGCTTCCACCAGAACCTCCTCCTTTCATGGCCCACTCACCCCCAGCCCCCGCCAATTTCCCAGTATATGCCTGGGCAAATGGGAATCCTCCAGCCTGTTCAGAAGGTCACTGGATCTAGTGAACCAAGGTGGGCATCAGCTCAGGTAGGTAGGACCCAAACCGATCAGGCACTGCTAGATCACCCTCAACCCCTTGACCTCCCCCACATACCAGCTGACAACCAGTGCCGGTCCCAAAGCTCATATGTCACATGCTCTTAGCAATAGCTGTGATTTCCAGATTGCTGGAAAGTGTGGCGCCATATGGATCCCATTCCACCAGCCCAACGGCAAGGTGACAAAGGCATAGAGATATGAGGACCCAACTGCCTTGCTAGGTACAGACAGATGTGGAGAAGAGTAGAAGGCACTAGACAGGGACTCCTGAGGCCAAGATCCTGTTCCTAACTCTGCCACTGACTTGCTGTGTGAACTTGGGCAAGTCACTTCCTCTCTCTGTGCCTAGACCAGTGGCTCTCCAGACCACTGGCCCCCCTTCAGGAGTCTGATTTGTCTTGCATACCCCAAATTTCACCTCGCTTAAAAACTACTTGCTTACAAAATCAGACATAAAAATACAAACGTGTCACTGCACACTAGTACTGAAAAATGTCTGGCTTTCTTATTTTTACCATATCATTATAAAATAAATCAATTGGAATATAAATATTGTACTTGCATGTCAGTGTATAGTACAGAGAGCCGTATAAACAGTCAGTGTGTGTCTGACATTTGAGTTTGTCCTGATTTCGCTAGTGCTTTTCATGTCGCCTGTTGTAAAACTGCGTAAATCTTTAGCTGAGTTGATGTATGTCCCCCTGGTTGAGACCCACTGGCCTAGATCAGGTTTCAGAGTAGCAGCCGTGTTAGTCTGTATCCACAAAAAGAAGAACAGGAGTACTTGTGGCACCTTAGAGACTAACAAATTTATTAGAGCATAAGCCTTCGTAGAATACAGCCCACTTCTTCGGGTGGAGGCCCCCAAAGCGTA